TTTTCAAGATGGCGATGGGCTTTTGGGATCTCCCTTCAGCAGTGGTCTTCTGTGGAGGGAAATTATCACCCAAACAGTCCAAGGTCAAAACCACATTAAAAAAAATGGACAGAAAATGAAACAGGGCAATTCAAGGTTTAATTTGATGCATGTCTTGAACACCTGCAGTGAGGGTTGTGAGATATTTGTTTCCGATTTTTTTTTGAAGTGGAGAATTTATCATTTTGTGTCTAATATGCCTATGGGAATTTGTGCACTGGTCAGCACCTTCAAGTCAGAAGGAGGCTGGTTGGAAACCGCAGCTATATCAGCATTGAAGTACCCAAAAGCACTATTAACCAAGCAATAATGCCTTAAAATTATGTCGCACGCGAATCTCCCACCCTCGACTCCAACCTGTAAAACGGGTTTAGTTTAGTTCACGTTTAAGTTCTTCGTTTGCCATTGATTCTGAAATATCCTCACTGTAAAAAATACCTTAAGCGTAGCAGCCATCATAGAGAGCAATACCTTTGTTTTGCTGGGATATGTATGAGTGACCCTTTTGTATGAGTGGACCTTTTGTACAGTCATTGTTACTGAGTTAAAATAACAGATGATGCCCTCTAAGATGGCCGCTAAGCATAAAGGTCTATAAAAGGGAAACCAGCAGTAGCGTATCTAGGTTTAGGACCGGTGGAGTGACCCATTGGCAATTTCCCTAAACGAAACAATATCAATACCTTTCCCCCGTAAAATTGTAAAAATTGTAAGTGCCGGTTGATTGGTGCTGGTGCAAGTGCTATCATTAAAAACTGCAACATATTGGGGGGGGGGAGTCAAGTTGCTCCCCGCCCAACCAGAAAGCAGACCATTACAAATAACAGATTTACGTTTGTGTCATGCAAAACTGATGTACACTCGTTCGTAATTAAGAATCTTTCCTTTGTCAATGTCAGCGTAGATGTACCAGCATGGCCGGCTCTAAAAAGCCTAGAGAACGGTCTCATGCTTTACGGGCAGGACTCGAACCTACGACCTTCCAGTAAAATGACACGGATGGAAGGAACACACAGATATTGATTGGTCTACTTGCTGTACTATAGGAAAAGCAAGTAACTGCTACCATAAAAGTAGGCTTAATATGAACTAACTATGGTGCTTGCATTATTATAAGACGCTGCCAACTACCCGTACTTTGGCTTCTGTGAAAACTCCTGATTATTACTCGCGAATTTATTCGTTAAAGGGCCCATGAAACGTATTTTTTTAATGCAATTCGTGAAAAGGCACTTTTATGTCCCTTTGAATCTTATAATTACTTTTTATTTTGTCGTTTTCAAGGGTATTTTGGTACCTTTTTGGCTTTTATGCTAATGCGAATTTCCATATTCATGAGCAAAACTCTGATGTCATATCAGGCAGAAACCTAAATGTTGCAATTTGTTTGTGCACAAAAAGTTGCCAGAATTTGGGATATTTTGCTGTCGTGACTTTCTTTTCCTTAGTGATTTGTTGTTGTGTCAGGTCATGGCAGTAAGCAAATGAGCAAGCTTTTCTCACAAATGTTTTCAATGAGGAAATGTTTGGGTTTACAATTTCAAGAGAAAAACATAAAATATACATTACACAGTGCCTTACTGAAATGACATCACAGGCCACAGCGCCTTCCCGAGAAGAGTGAAGGAAAAAAATCCATGGACAATTTTAAATGTTTAAAGAAGGTACTTTTCAGTAAAATTAACCAAAAAGGGATATCATTTAGTTTTCATACACCTAAGAGGATTAGAAAGTAGCAAAAAAATGTTCCTAAGAAATAGTTACTTCATGGACCCTTTAACAGTGTCCCGTGTTCTGTAGCATCAAAATCACTTGCTGCTTCGACTTCGAGAAGGATTCGAAACTACGACATCAGTAGTAATTTTGTGAAGACGTCTCAACTAGGCAAATTTGGATCGATCAGCAGACAGGAACGCAGTCAATGACAAGGTTTTGAAAATATCAAATGCCAACATTTCATTTTTTGTGTGGAAAATAACACCCTCATTTTTCAGAAAAGGGTTTTGCCCTTCACCGACGTATTTTCTTTATTAATTCACCTGACCCCTATTCTTTGTGTGTCGAATGACCTCTACCCTTTTCAGCATATGTTTCAATTATTTTAACCCAGAAAAATCCCTTGGGTGGTTTGTCGGCGATGTGACTTCAGCACCTGAGTGGGAGGGACGAGATGACCGATGTTCATACCGCGGTATAAGCCGACGACTCTGCAGCTCACAATGATCCAATCGCGTACATGTGCTTCCTCCAAACAATGTAGTAGGCTTGCAACCAGGTTCAACGCTCGAGTTTCGCCACGAGCCCTCCCCCAGCTCTGCAAGAGGTTTTTTTTCTGTGTCTCTCTTTCGGTGTGGATTATGTTGGTGGCTGGGCCCGGGCCGTGGACACAGCGGCGCGGCAGCGCAAGCGAGTCCCGATTAACCCTCTCTATTTAACCGAATCTTGAGAGCCGCCCTGACCCCGCGAGACTTTTGCAACAGTTTCAATCTCCGCCGAGCCGCCGCGAGCAATCGGTCGCACGCTGGTTCCACAGCCGGGCTCAGCGCGCCGCACCTCCGGGGCATGTTCAACAGAGCAAACCCGCTCCCTGGCTGGTCTTATCGGGGAAGGCTCAGTTTTTGTAGGGAGTTTTATTGGTCCTGAGACTGAGAGTGAAGGAGAAAAAAATCCACCGTGATAAAGAAAAGTGGTTCGGTACTTGGGCCCTCATGATAAGCTGCCGCCGCCGAACACAAGCCACAACGGTATCGTTTTAATTGCCATTGAAAAGGTCCAGTGAGGGAACAAATGGGCTTGAAATGGTTATCTGTTATCAGCGCGGAAGAATGGCCTGTTATTCCCAAAGTCCATAACAGTGCCGACACACATCTTAAACACTCCTCTTAAGATGATGTGTACCTTCCATTTAATCCTTTAATTTGATGGACCATTTTCTCTGATGGGGTATCGTCTTTTCCCTCCTAGCAAGCCAAGGATAGAGGTATTAGGGTAAGGGCAAAGAGGGACGCCGCTATGATCCATAAAGAAAAAAATCTCATGATTACATGAGCTGAGTTTACAGTATCCAGACGTTTGTAAGATGGCGCAGAGCATTTCTTTCTTTCTTTCTTTTTTTCTTCATCTGTCTACCGTCGTTACGTTTGCAAGTGAAATTTTCTTTGACCAGAGCGGCCCGGCCATGGCATGCTGTCTGTTCACCTCATTGTCCGAGGGGAGACGAGGCCAGGACTGTGCAGAACTGCAGGACGGTCATTTGCCAGCCCAGACTGGGTCTTTATCAATCCAAGGGAAAAATATAAAGAAATTTGTTGATTTACCAGCCTTGGCCAACTCATGATCGACCGGCCATTGCACCAGACTAAAAAGAACAAAATAACCTGATCACCATACGCGCCAATCCTAAAAGTTCTTGTATTCTCTTTGCCTCAGCACTGGATGGTAACAGGCCTTCCATGGCTTACAACCCAAGGTTACTGCGGAGTCCTCTTCAATGACAGATGGATTTCTACTCTTGGCCGGGAGCAGCAGCTCATGTCGGACCGATCGGAACTGGGAAAGCGGGAGAACCGCTTAACTTGTTTGAACTCCCCAAACGATCCGGTTAATTTAATAAGAATTGGAAATCATTATCACCTAATTGTGCACCTTATAGGCTGCGGAGCCGGCCGTCTGAGCCGGCTGGCTCGTGGCCACATTCTCCCCGATCACTTCTCGCCCGTTTAACTCGTCATTCCTTTCGCCGACTTCAGATTAAGGGGTCCCGACCCCAGTCCTCCCGCGTAACAATCGGTCGTCTGCCTGTCTGCCCGGGTAAAACCCAAATGACTTCTCCAAACCAACGAGCGACCAGCTTCCCTCCAGAACGATTTATGCCGTCGCGGCAACGCTTCTGACAAGTTTATTAGATTGCTTGAAAAAAAAAATACACATCAAAATAACTCTATGACTTTTTAATGCAGTCGAGTTTTTATTTCCTCCCAAGGAACTTTGATACAATATTGTCAGCTTCACATAATAAAATGCGCTGGAAACGTTATGTAAAAATCTTACCAGCAAAATTGTGAACGTCGGCCCTACCCTTTCACCTATTATCCCTCCCTAATTAAATCCAATCACTTTGCACAAAAGACCTGGGAGCGTATTACGGGGCGAATAAAAGCGGGAAAGAAAAACAGCCTGATTGGGAGGCGGCAAATCTTCCGTCCCCCTTTGAGTAACCCGATACCAGGAGTCGTCGCCGTGCCGTGCACTGACGCTGCTGGGCAACACCACCTTTTTTGTTAAACGGCTCAACACCAAGAACAACTGAACTTTTTTTGAGGTTTTTTTCCCCGGCCAAAAGCCAATCCTTGCGCCACGTGACCTCCCGTTGTTTAATTTATTTACTCTCCAAACAGTGCTACGCACCGCCGCTCCGTGCGTGGGCCGCTGTGCACGAGCTAGATTTAGTCAGCTTGGTTGTATCATTTCTTTGTAGGTTACAATGTCGGCCAGGACGTGATTGTAGCAATACTCAGTGTATTTTGTTGGGTACTTTAGTCAAACCCAAGAATATTGTTGAAAAACCAAAAAAGCAGGAAAAAATATCTGTGTATGTAAAGGCTGCATACGGGGCGCACCGCAGAGGGGTAGAGATTAGCTTAATCCAGGTTTGTTCCAGTCCCCTGGGTTGGGACCTTGGGCCACAGAAGCGGCCCGGTCTGTGAATGGGAGCCGGTTAATATTCTCGCCATTCTTCACTGGGGGAACTGTTTCATATTGGTAGCCGCGAGTCTCCTTTGATCGCGCCGGGCCTGGCGCCTATACACAACATAAGTTGTCTGCTGCTTGAATGCCGTGACAAATAGTGACAGATTGTTTGTCCGCGCAATTAGCCCAGGCTTGGCCGAGTGGTAATTGATCGCTCGTGGGGGAGTGTTCAGACTGCAAATGACTTTTTTGATCTTCATGAATAAAAATTTTACGAGGGCATTCACGAGCTGTTCCAGTCTGCCGAGCGTCTTTAAAGCCACCAAAATGGGGAACAAAAATGCCCAAAACTTTTTTCTTTTTTTTTCAAAGTGATCTTTCTTGTCGGAGACTCCAGAGTTGAAAGGGAAAGCGACTGCGGCCCATTACGCCAATGTACACTGCATAATTGCATTTAGATTGTCCCATAGATACAGTGTATGAATTCGATTAGGTCTGGGGCCCCATACCATAACACGCGCATACCAAATGAAATTGGATGCCGCCGACCAAATTTATCGTATTATGGTTATTATTTATTATCCAGCCATTGGGGGATAGTGCAACAGTGTGTTTTGGACTAGTCTCGGGCCGCGTGAGTTGTTGCAGAGAGCCAACGAGACGTTTGTTACGGTCGCGTTGGGGGTCTGCGTCATCACCATAGCCAACTTTGATTGGGCAGGGGACTCAGTGAGTTAAAAAAAAAGTATCAGAAAAACCCGAAGGCGGCACTTGGATTCTCCCACTGCAATTTCCCATTGACAGATGACTTGAACTTTCGTGGTCATATCGGATGCTTATTGAGGAACTCACTCGCCACTGATACGCGCACTTCTTGACATGAGGTTCAACCGCGTGGAGTGAACCGGCAAAAACACTTCCTATCTCCATGTGTCGTCCGATTATCAACACTCACGACGTTCTGAAAGTATAGAGTTAAGCTGGAAAATCTCACTTTTTCGCTAGAATAAAGGGGGAAATTGTAAGATAGGAAGACGTTTTGTTTATTGATTCAGTCATTTTTGTTGTACCTCCGCGGGAAAGATGTCGAGCGGCAGTAACAAGACTCTCACGGTGAGCACCAATTCGGCGTTCTCGAGACCCGAGTATAACGCCTCACCGACGGCGGGTAGTACGCCGACCAGCCCGGAGAAATTGCCCACGGACCCGGGCCGGGAGAACCTGTCGTTCCGCGTGGAGTCCCTAGTCGGCGTGAAGCGCGAGGACTCACCACCGTATGCAACCACCGAGATAGAACGGGACAATACCGGTGCAGCCAGGGACCGTGTTGCTGCCACCACCGCCACCACTACCCCGTCCAAGCCTGCCACGTCCCCGTGTTGTGCCACCAGTCCTTCGTTCACCTACACGGTGGAAGGAATCCTCGCTTCCAAATCCTCGCACCATTCTCAAACTGCCAACTCCCTGCTTCACCACCATCAACACCACCTCCACCACAGTCACCATCATCATCCAAGACCTGGCGATTTATCCCCGACGACCAAGACGTACACGTGGGGCAATACGAGTTTCCCGTGGATGCAGGGAGCGAGGCTATCACCCAACTCACTAAGTAAGTATTCGTCTTTGCATCAACACTCGCGTATCATCAACTGTTTAGTATCTTGGGAAAGATTCCCATTTCTGGTCATTACTACTTTTTCCCTTCAGTGACCTATCAGCCATCATAAAGTGATAATTATGTCCTAAAAAGTCCAATTTATCTGAGAAAATATTAGAGTATTTACTGAGAAAACACTTAAAAATGTTCAGACCAGTCTCATACAGTTTGTGCACAGGGTGACAAGTGATGACCAGATATGGGAATCTTTCAGTATCTTGTTTATCATCTTGAAGATAAACTTCAATGTGATTATTAACACCCGAATATTTTAGGCCAGGAAAATTGGTTATGATTTTTACAAACCATAACAATGAAGCTTTTAATGATGCATATATGATTTGTCGGTAACGAACGACCAAACATGCCAAATGGGACATGCGTCAAGTCAATCTAATTTCGAGTTTCTGAAGAACATGGAATCCCGCTAATTTGAGGAAATGCTATCAGTGATAATGAATATGACAGAGCCTCTTCTTCTTCTAGGTTTATGCTGTGCACGCTTTTCCATCTGCTTAGAACATGTCGGAGTTACTCATCAAAAACTGAACATGCTGAACATGAACGAAAACACTCAAAACCATGAAAACATCTTAACCGATTTCGCAGGGGAAAACACTCATATAAATGAGTCAAAGGCAATACTGTCATTGTGTCATGTAGTACAGTATTTTTCATTCAGAAACCAGTATGACCTGATTTATTTTGAAAAAAACCCTGAATAATCTGAGTGTTCTTTCAATTCATACCAAACAAAAAGTGTCAAGCATGTCAAGACAACACCGAGTTTGATGTCATGAAAGTTATGTTCTTCGAAGACTCGATTTTTTTCCTACTGTTTAAAGAAAATAATTGAAAAACAGAAAAATGCATCTCCATCAATTTAAAAAAAAATCGTCGAGCCGATGAAATGGATGTTATTGCATACACAAATGACTCCTTGGGTAGATAGAGGCGCATGTCAGATTGGTATTCCCTCAAATTACAGAATTTAGTTGTTATATTACACAGCTTTCAAAGAAGCAAAATGTACTTTCAAAGAAATGAAATGTACATCTTCAAAGTGTTCTCCACGAAAAGAGTCGTGTCAACCTCTCACCCTTTTTATTTCTGTTTTTTCTGCTTGCACTAAACAAGTCAAATGAACCGTATGCTGGTCATTTATGCCAAGAAACAATGACTTACGTAAATTGGGACAATTCCCCGATTTCAAACATTTATGATCTCCAATTCACTGAATTCGCTTATAATTTGCATTGCAGTCTGTATCACCTTTGTTTGAAATTTGATCGACCACTATTTTAGTGCGTCTAGGAATTGAATTTTCTTCCCCCAAAGATCAAGACCTCTCTTCTTCCCCCAAAGATCAAGACCTCTGACTTCAGGCTCATTATGATGACAAACTAAATTTTCTTTTCTCATCACAACCCGGCCGTTGCGGGGTCAAAGGTCATCATTAACCTTCGCGTTGTTTTAATATCAAATACCAAACTACATGTGGATCAGGAAGTAAAAGTTTCGCGTGATATGGAATTGAATGCGTGACCTATCACTATCAGTAAAAATGTATCCGCATGCAGAAAAAGCATGGTCAAAACTGCTAATGCATGCAACCAAAATAGTTACGAAAAGCTGTTGCGTGTTTCGAGTTTATTCGCTTGAAACTTCATCTTCATACCAAATGGTCGACTTTTCACCTACACGTATCTGACTTTTTTAACATAGCAAATATTGTATATACGTATTGTGACTATATTAGCTTAATTTTCATTTGTATGCAAGATTTCCTAAAAATTCACCAATAATAAACAAACTTGCGTGACCCCCGTTATTCACCTGACCCAGAACTTGCACAAGCGTCTTCTTTTTGATCGAAATATTAATTATTATTCATAGCATCCTGAAGATCCGGACAAAAGGCACGGGAACGCGCCCATAAAGAATATTTACGCCGAAATCGGATTTAGTCTCCCTAATTTGAGGATGAAAACCAGATTTAATTGCTTTGCTGCCGAAGCACAAAAGGCTTGAGGCCATGGGGAGATTTTTTTGTTACCTTAAACGCATGTATTATACGGTTTAGGTTGAAACAATACATGCGTATACATGTACATAAAGTAGGCTGAAACCAACTACATACGGAACGCTTTGACCTTTCGTGAATGTCCTTTACATGTACACATGTACAACAAGCTTAGTAAACCACCAAGAATGTTGTATAGATTTTGCCCCTCGTGTTTTCATAATCATGATAATTCCCTGCCTTAACAAAACTCTTTTTGAGCTCCGGGATTTCTCGCCAGTGTTATTTTGATGAATTGTGTGAATCCGTATTGTGGTGCATCATCTTGCCCGGTCATGTCTTGTGCTGAAAAAGGGCCTCAAACAGAAAATGGGGAAAAGATTTTATGAAAGCTTAATCAATATTACTACTAATACGTTAAAACAATTGACATCAATGGAAGTAGGCCTAAAGTCATGATATTACACTTACCTTATATTGAATTTTTTTACTTTTTGAATGATAATTTGAAATTTTTACCTCCGGATTTTGACAATCACATCCGAAAACATTACATTTACACTTCTTTTGGGCGTTATCAGAGTCTTTTTGGAAGCTGTATATTTATAGGCGATAGATCCTTCATTACTTTTATTTTCCATTAAAACAAAATTGCCTGTTCTTTTTTTCATGGACTGCACTGGAAACTGAACTTATACTACCCTCCCCCCCCTTAAAAAAAAACCCAAAACCCAAAAACCCATGGCCTTAAAATTGACCATTTTCATTTCATTTGTTTTTAAACAGAACAAAAAGTAACTATGAATGATTATTAAAGTAACAGACCAAAACTTTAATCAGATCCATAGCTAGGATTATTATGAAATGGGAGAACTCAAAAGCAAAGCAATTTCCACGTTGATTCCATTGATAAGTATCGTAGACCGTGGCTGAACGAACAACCTATATAAAACAGGCCTGGCATGACTCTGGCAAGTGAGGGCGTTATTGCTTTCCCGCTCTGGGGCGATTCACACGGCCGCATCACGTGATGTAAAGTTGCCTCATCCATTTGAATTTTACATTTCAAATTTCTCTGTCCAACGGGTGCTACAATTTGTTGCAAAATTATACTGCAGTTTTCATGCACATGTTAATATGTAAATATTGTCATCTTTCAAAGAAAATGGTCTGACTTTTTGTTGGATTATTTACAAGTTGGCTAAAATCCTAATTAGCCTAAATAGCTTAATCATATTACTTTCTTGAATTATCTTACAATACATTTACAATGCGATCCAATATTGTTACCCTCATCGCCTGTTGCAAGCATTTAACACAAACTTTATTTCGTTGGTTTTATTGTGCTGTCCGAAGAGATGTCATAAAAAGCTTTTCCGCATGGAAACTTTGTTCATCAGGCTCGGAACAATCAAAATATCCCAGCACGCATGCATTGTGTAGAACTATAGTTACAACAAAATGCTTGCTTTTGTCTTTAAAAAATTGAGCAAGTTTTGGCTAATGCCTAGAGCTTTAGAAATTCAGTGTTAGGACACGTACAAGAGTGGAATGAGGGCTCCGTGCCGACAACAGACACGCCTTGGAGTTGCTAATTTACTCCGTGCCGCATCGATCTCCTATAACTCCGCTTATTACCCGATTTTCCGTGTCGTGAGTTATAATATCTGGGTCGTGGCCCCATTTTATCGGAGATCAGAAGCGATCGCAACCGCGGTCCGAATTGCGGCACGGGAAATTGCACGGACTTCTACGGAAGTCCATCGCTCGTCGAAATGTTGTTGCTTCGTCAAAACCGAGGTATGGCAATTCGGCGGGTATTATCGGAAGGTGCGTGTTGGACGCACGAAATCGGTATGGACATTCCTCAGGTTGATGTTGAATAATTGGTTTAATTAACTCAACCGAAGTCAATCACTTCCTTTTGCAAACTTCAAAGTTATATTGCGAAACAAAGAACGGTTTGGTGACGGCGGAATTTTTGTGTGGTGTACTGGGAGGCAAAATCAGTTTGGGAGCAAGTAGAGGGTGGGATATGTTGGCGGATGCCTGAGGCACGCCCCTTCCTGGGGGTCGGGGTAATTTCTTAATCCCGATGCTTTGTCTTGCATTGCATGGCATATTTTAAAGGAATTGAGAAATTTTATTTGGCCTTTTGGCGGCAAGACAGATCTGATCCACAGGAAATTCGAAACAAGACTTTTCCCAACTCCTGAAGTATCCGTTCCGAGAGTTTATGATAACCAAATACACATGCTTATTGGGCCGTACTGGGGCAGGAATCGAGCCCAGGACCTAGTATAGAGTTTGTACTTACACTACAGGAATGTGCACTAAACTGTATACTATGTTCGTCGGTACGTTCCTCCTTCAGACCATGGTGGCCGCAAAACCAGGTAACCTAACCAATTAAAAGATTGGACGCAATAAAGATGGTGTTTTTCTTAATGCTAGGTGTGTTTATTATGTATCACTTGTCTTGTCTGACAGTTTTTGCTGTAATGAATCATGCTGAGTCACCAAGGCCGATAGATATTACAGCCGAACAAACAAGATCTAGGAATTACAAATGTCTGCGCTAAATCAGGATCATTGAAAGTGTTATTGAGAACCTAAATAACAGGCTAAATGCTCGTAAAAACAAGTCACTGTTGTTTGTGTGCCCATCCAGCGTTGTACAATGGGTAGTTTCTCCAACAATTTATGACCACCAACTGGTACATCTGCTGTCACACGGCAAGAGATTTCAGTTCAGTGTATGTTTTGATCCTTTGAATAATTTCTTAAACTCACCGTTGATTTTCTTCTGCAAAGTTTGCTCTCCTGGTCAGATTTACAATTTTAAACACATTTTTTGCGGCAAACAGTGACTTGTCGCAAGAACTCGTTCGTTGGTTGCAAGTTCCTTAAGTTTCATCCTAGTTTTATTGCGGATTATTGTGGTGCTGGGAAAACGACCAGCCTATCGCTGTAAATAACAACAATGTTCTAAATCAAATGCAATATACGTCAATGCACTCGAGAACTGCACCAGTCAGGTTTGGTAAATTAGCAGCAGACTTTTAGGCGGTGTAGACTGTAACCATGACAGTCTGCACACGTATTTTACCAGACTACACGGAAAGTGTTCAATGAAAGCCCAACTCATGACCCGACATACAATGCACATGTTTTCGTCGGTTCTCTAAATGGAGTATCAATCAAGCATTTGATTTGCCTCCCCTGGGTATCTGGGTCTCTCACCCGTCCCATTCTGGGCCGGTCTGCGACTTGTAAATTACTACCAGCCATATAAAAAGAAAAACAAAATCATATAATATTTCAACTACAGTCTGAGTGCGCAAATTATTGCACTGTTCAGAGAATTCCAAGTACAAAATTCATTTTACAGAGCTCTGGCGTGGCCCACAAAAAGGTAGCAGAGTCTGCAGGACAGACGATAACGACGCACGTTTTGAATGCTGTGTCTACAGCTCGTTTTCCCAATTAGTCGCATCAGTGAGCAATGTCAACAACAGAAACAAACTCGCGAATCCAATCGCCGAAATGTAATTTGTCAGGCCCAACAACAACAACCCACCGGGCTGGTAAAAGTGGGGAAAAAATCCGTCAGCCGCAGTCAGGTTGTTTTTTTGGTAAGGGGTGGTTTTACCATTAATGGCACCAGGGTTCTAAGTTATGATTGCCCCGTATCGGGTGATGGAGCCGCCCTCCAGCATCAGTGTCGAGACGTGGAGGGAGATGGTTTCACCAGGAGTATCGCTTTCTACCGGTTGCAGTACTCGAGGCATCTATCATTTACCATTCACTTATTGTCTGGTCTTTTGTCTTTTCTCCTCCGATGCAGGTTCCCCCACCGAGGCCCGCCCTTACGGTGCCAGTGCGCCGGGAGCCCCGGGACCCAAGGTGCAGTGCACGCTCCGCAAGCACAAGACCAACCGCAAGCCCCGCACCCCCTTCACCACCTCACAGCTCCTATCCCTGGAGCGCAAGTTCCGTCAGAAGCAGTACCTGTCCATCGCCGAGCGGGCCGAGTTCTCCGCCTCCCTCAACCTGACTGAGACCCAGGTCAAGATCTGGTTCCAGAACCGGCGGGCGAAGGCCAAGCGTCTCCAGGAGGCCGAGCTGGAGAAGCTGAAGATGGCCGCCAAGCCCCTCCTGCCGCCTGGCTTCGGCTTGCCGTTCCCACCGACCTACTACTCGCTGGGACACCTCCACCGCCACGCCGCAATGCCCGGCTTACTCCAGCCGCTGCAGTTTTCCCCCTACTCGTACTTTCCCGGGTCTGCCACGGGGACGGCCCACCATGGACCATCCGCGAGTCTTTTGTGCCCGTATTCGGCGTCAGGAACGCTATAATAATCATTGGGAAGTTTTCCCATGACTATGACAATCAGAGACATCTGCGATCTGGACCAAAACAAATCTGTCCAAGAATGTTGGAAGAACGGTAACACATAACAAGAAATGACTCCAATTGCCTCACAGTGTAAAAATGTTGGAACAAAAACCTGTTAATTGTCTTATCATAGACATAGTATTTTCGCTCCAGGGGCAACATAAATGAACTGCTACAACAACATTTTAATGTATTTGTTAATTAAAGTATATTATGATTATTTGATTCCTGAACAACTCAGAAGATGACGGAAGATTGTCAAGAACTTGCAATACTATTTTGGCTGGTAGCAGAAGCTTTCACATTGTGTTGATTGGTAACAAAATAATGTAAAACCTTATAATCTGATTGGTCCGTTTATGACCCCGGCGCCTCAGATTTTGAACATGTCCGTTTCACCTACTATATTGTTGCGACATCCTTAAGACATGTGCATTTTTTTCTTAATATGCCGAGGTGATGTCTTCTGTGATAAAAAAAAAGAGATCGATTCAAACAATCCAAACGGTGGTAACTTGTAAGCATTTCAATTTGAATGCAGTGATGAACACGTGCCATGCAGTTTGAATTTGATAGACACCTTTGCCAAGTGTTTTATTCAGTACTTCTTACAATACCAGGCGCGGCCAGTGTCTACCCTCATGAGAGTTAAACATTAAAACAACTCCAAAAAGTTAAACTTGAATTCTACACGAATATTAACTTGACGCATGTTTGTAATTCAAGACCACTTTACTGTGTAACAGAAAGCTGCTAAGTTGCTTGTAGAGGCGTGGAAGTGTAAAGAAAAAAGCGGGCCTCCTGAATTACTCCTCAAAAATCGAAATGTTATTCCTCCACTTTGCAGTATAAGGGTGTACTAGGTACCTCTGCGGTGTTAAACTGTTAATTTGAGCATTGCATAGCACTCATTTATGACGAGATGACGCCATCTGCGCAGTATGTTTTTGCTCCACCTCATGGTTGGCAACTTTTGCCATAAGTACAAGTACATGTAAAGACACTTGTTGAAAAAAACTGCAATCAGATTTGACTAGAAAACTGGCAAACGTGTGTACAGTCAGAGGGGTACAAGTTGAACTGTTTTTATTCTATTCTCCATACAGAAGTCTAAAGCGTGTACTTGGGTCTATTTTGGTCTCAAGATAACGCCCTCCTGAAAGTCGGTCTCCATTTGTGAGAGCATTTCAACCACCATTTATTGTACAACTTAATCTTGGGGAATTGCTGGTAATGGATGTACGGCTTTTCTTTTTTACTGTCCCGTATCCCAAATACACAATTCAGATCTCCGGCATGTATAGAACTAGACATACTCCGTCGCATGAATAAAAGTACAAAACATGTAGTCTATTTCAAAAGCCATAAAAATTGACAGGGCGAATCCTAAAATCGTTGATTTTTCCCCCCGTTCCAACCCATTAGGGAATGTATGGGACCTGAAGCCTCTGTATAGGTTTCTGAAAGAGGAGGAAATTTGTGTAGTAAAAAACGACAACTTCGGTTTGAATCGCAATTCACAATATGTTGATGTACACGGGTGTACAGAGAACATACTCACACACGGATGTTTGTTTTTGGTGTATCGAGTATTTCCTATTGTTCCGTATCATCGATGATTTGCAACAGCTCCCATTGGTTTTGTACACGTTTTCTAATCGAGGACGTCCTCGATTTGACTCCTGTCCCCAGTTACACAAGGATGTTTCACATGTGTGTCCTCGATTTACACCATAAACAAACCCAAAACTTTGCTGGCTTTTTGGCTTGTTGTAGTCATTACGAATACATTGTATAACCATTATTTAGTTTATACCCAGGATCTTTGAACATGGTAAAAAGGCAAATACGTGTACTTGGTGTTTTGATTGCACAAAAAAAAATCCGTTTGGCTTACGGGGATTTAAATGAATTACTTTACAAAATGTATGTCTGTACTTTTTCTGCATGAACGCTGAAGTTGATAACTCGATTAGAGAATTTTGGCCATGTTGCGGTCCACAAATTCCAAACCTTACATCAGCGGCCGTACTGTGGCCTCAATTTTTTTCAAGTGGATGCTCGTTTTCGTTTTTGTCGCTGTTTTAAGTATACCGTGAAGATTAACACAAACATTTTGGAGTTCATTGGAATGTTTCTTATCCATATTGAACGAAGACAATTAGTTCTATGCGCACAAGCTTTTTGAAGAAATGGCAGTGGTGGAAATTCAATTGCTCAACTCTGAAAGATGTTATATAAACTGACATCATGGACCTATCTTGCTGCTTCTCATCTTATGCACTATAATTTAAAAGATAATCCCGGCAGCATGACCGGTTTCTTTTGGTTAAGTGAAGTAGATGCATTATCGGTGATTGAAGTAATACCATGCCTTTGTATAAAATAAATATGTAAGTTATTAAGGGAATAAATGTGTGCTCCGGAGGTTTTTATCACTCTGTTTAATACCACTTAGAGTCTGGGTGCTGATAATTACCCGAGCCGGAGGCGAGGGTAATTATCAGCACCCAGACTCTAAGTGGTATTAAACAGAGTGATAAATACCGACGGAGTACATATTTATTCCCATTCATAAATACCTTTTCGGTAAAAAAAAATCATATAATTCGTGCAAAACATCCCGATTTTGTTCAACAAATTCACTTTATGCTTTTGAATCATCCCTCCTGCAAAATAATGGAGTGTTCAGCTGGCGAGTAAGATGAAAACAACCCTTTTATGGAGATTGACGCGCGCGTATGATGTTCTATGCGATGTCGCGCAGAACGCACCTGGCGCGTTGCGTTTTGAATTTAGAACTATAAAATTCTAACTCCCTGGTAGTGTTGCGCATGCCTACGTGAGGATTGTGAACGTTCAACCAATTAAACGATAAGAGGCACTGGATTTTTAGGAGTCCACATTTTATTGTGACACTGGAAAAGTGTTTAAGACCAGCTAGCCATGTCGTTATCATCCGTTTAATACCGGCCACGTGACGGGCTCTCGACCAATAGGAATGGCTAAACTGTCTGAGGTATTTATGAATTGTAAATAAACACCGAACACTGTGTGTATTTATCAATATATTTGGCAAGTGGTATAGCCGTCAACTTTAAGTGAAGTTTACGTAAGTTAATAAACAATGATGTTTATATCGGTAAATTGGATATCGTTTCATGGTATTATTTGTTTTAAGTTCCGTTTGTTTTGCGTCTCTCTTTGAAAAGGGAAACACGCTTCTGTTCTTGTACTACATCCTCCTCCTTCCCGTGGTGTCGAGCAGTACGCACCACTTATACCTGCTCTCCCACCCTCAGTGGCGTAGCCAGGAATTTTTCAGTGGGGGGGGGGGGGGGGGGGGGGGCGCTGGGGGGCTGGAACATTTCATGGGGGGGGGGGGCGTCATGTAGATCAATGATAATTGTTTTAGAAACTCAAAATCTCAGTTGGGGGGGGGGGGCGACTGGGGGGGGCGACAAGGTTTCATGGGGGGGGGGGGGGGCTGTCGCCCCCCCCCCCCCCCCGTGGCTACGCCACTGCCCACCCTGGTCATTTGGATGTTCAAAGTCAAACATCTTGCACGTGTATGCAAAATAGGAATAGTCCGGTGCCTGTTGTGCTTTAAATCACCGTTTATTTTTGTAAGCGGTGTCTGGGGTAAAAACAGAATCAATTCGTCGCGGCGTGAGATCCAAAAACACGATGTTTTTCAAAGTTAAAATGCTACAATCTTATCCAGCCAATAATTATGTAGTATCACATTACATATAAAAAAATAAGCAAAATGGAAAGGGAGGATTGTTTGTGAGGTGGATTGGACGTGGGCCTAATAATTCACAGCGAACGTTAAAATATGTAATACATGTTGGAAATTTAAAAAAAAATGCACGATGCTTACTATTGCTGTATCGAATCAGGATACAGGAAGAAGGTTTCCCACCCACAGATTTCTATTGGAAACGAGGTTGATATTAAAGTAATCCCTGGGGACGACGTTGGCACTACATGTAATTGCATTGCTCCGAAGACATAAAATTCTGCATGACTGATGCAGCGAGGATTATATTGGATTGAGGGTAAATTGTAGGGACCAGATTTCCATAATACATGTATGATCTTGCCAAAGTTAATAGTTCATTGTACGTTGACACTTTTGGAAACGGTTAGTATTAGAAACCAGGTTGAAATTAAAGTAATCCCTGGGGACGACGTACATGCACTTGCATTGCTCCGAAGACATCCAATTCTGCATGACTGATGCAGTGAGAACACGGCATACGCTACGCTTGCGCGTAAGTTGTAGAGACCAGATTTTCATAATAATAAGTCAATAGTTCACCATGGTGCTATCGGAAATCCAAAACTATGATTCATTGTTAAATTTTGTTTTAATCAAAACGAGAAAACTGGGTCCCCTTCATGGTGCTGTTTAGCGGAAAATATTGCTTAGAAAACGCAGTTATAACAATCATTAATCAAGAAACACTGTCGAGCCAGTCACAGGTACTTTAATACACACTGTCTGACTTCAACTTCGCTATAAAGCAAGCTTTATGCTACTCAGTGATTACACACTTCGACTGCTTGCATGGAAGCTGCATGAAAACTGGCTTTTGGTTTCAAAGTGCTTGTGTGATGCTCTTTTTGGCTGAAACTGGGGATCTCGCACATCAAAGGAAAGTTTTTGGAGGGGGGGGGGGGCTTTGGGGGGAAATCCGCAGCATACATGTACTGTATATTCATGGTAGCCTAACGATACGTGCGATTTTGCGAGCGAAGTTTATTTGATTGTAAGGAGCAGAGTGTAATGGACTACTGTGGGCTGCACTTTTTGGGACTAGGGGAGAGCTGCAAATTTTTTTTTTCCGATGAGGATCGACGAATTTGACATATTACCATCTTCCACACCTCCTGCGTCCGGATAATGCAGCCATTGTCAGTACCGGTAATAGTAGAGCTAGACCTACCATTGCTGCCATGAAAAGCAGTGGCGCCGCACTTACTCAACGGGGAGCCCAACACAAGTTTAGAAAAACCCTGCACATTGTTCCCCGGACTGACTTTCGCCCCGCTCCAGTGTTCACCGACAATACCGAGAGAAAAAAAGTCGCAAATAGTTGGGATGAAAAGTTAAAATGGCACAACAATGTAATCCCAGAGATTGTTTAATGGTCCAATGAAACGCATATTGGGTTGGTTTTTGGGGTTTTGTTGTGTAATTTTTTTGTTGGATTGTCGCGGTCTGTTTTTTGACACAGTCGCCGGTCGTCGCCAGCTCGGCACTGCCGCACAATGCTGGCGAACTTTAGAAGGAACCGTAAGCGGTGATGCAGCGCGTTTTGCCCCGAGGCGCCTTTCCGAGATCGAGAGGCAGTGGGTTGACAATGGGACTCCTTGGTCCCCGAGGGAAAGACGCGTTGCAATATACACGATACACACACCATTTTTTGGTGCCTGCATGGACCGACAAGCCGGGCAAGCACAGAGATACTAGAAATGTCACTACTCTTTTTTCTCTCTCTGATGTCGGTGCGGTGACTGATCATCAGCGGCTCTCTTTGTACCATTTTACACAAGTGCACAGCAATTGTCTCCCCTTAACAAACCCTGAAACTATAATGCGCAAACAAGCGTGCCTACATTATTGACGCGCAGACAAAGTCCCCAAATTCCAATTGTCCTTTCTTTTGTTTACAAACATTAAGCACCACTTTTTTTTCATGTCCAGGCAGCCAACCATCTATTGCCTAAATTTTATCGGGGCTTGGCAATATGCACTTTTTATGAAGAGGGGGGCCTCTTCATGACCATGTAATTTATT